AAGAAAGAAGGAACACAAAATGAATGAAATATGACGGATCCATCAGAATCGCTCGTAGTTTGGTTGGCTCAGGGGCCCTCGGTACCATCCCGTGCAAAACAGCAGCGGGCGCACGCTCGCGTTGCAAAACACTCTCACAACATTCTTGCGAGATTGGAACAGAACTGTACCACCATTGGCACAGGGGAGAAATAAGGGGAAAGAATGCGGCCTCTTCTCTCCAGAAATATGGGAGATATCACGCCGATCTCTGGAGCAATACGGATTCTGGAATGCGCGCCGCCACACTGCAATGAAAGAAACGAAACTCGCAAGCAACGCAAACGAATCAGCATGCCTGCCAGCCTCGCAGACATTGTCGGGGCCCCCCGTGAGCCCGACCTCACGTCTCAACACGCCTGCACTCGTTGGTAATCGTCGCAGCCCGCTCACGATCGCACAAGCACTGGAACCTGGTAAAGCCGCGCCCGCATGCACACTGACAATGAGCGCTCGTCGTTCTCAACATATTCGCAGGCCTGTCCGGTGCACCCACCTCGTCGTTCCCACGGCGGTCCATCTCCTGGCGCCTGTAATCCCCGACTTCTGTCGCAAACTCTCGCTTTCCTTCTGGCGGTCGCCCACCTCCTCCAAGAGCTTCTTCTCCGTCGCGCATTTCATCCAGCACACAGTTAGTTGCCACGGCGCACGTCAGCGCGATCATCTGAATGATCAGCATCCACATAACGAGCCAAGGAAATTCCGGCGCCGCCGATAACGCCACGCCCTGCCCGCCAAGGAGCCGCCGCTGAAGCCAGCGCCATCGCCGATCTCTAGGCCGCTCTGGCAGCGCTGCTCGCAGCCCGCATCATCTCTCTCAGCTGCTCGGCGTCGCCGATGTCCTCGCGCGCGCCAGCCTCTATCGCGTTCGCCTCGCGGGAATCCGCGGCCACCATAGCTCGATCGGACAGGCTGACTTTCTCTCCCGCGGTGAACGTCGGATCGCAAGACAGCGCGCGGGCGTTCCCCCTCAGCTTCTCCACGGACTGCTGCCCCACTTACGACTTGGCGAGTCCGTCAGCCACCTGCTGGAACGTACTTGTCCAGCGCCATAGACCGTTGAACTCCTTCATCTGCTCGCTCACCTGCGCCACCTCGATGCCGGCCCCGCGCTCGGCACGTCCCCCTGCCGCTGCCTGCGAGGCGGCCGCGTCGCACACCGCCTTGCAGTCCGCGATGCACGAGAGCCTTCCAAACACCCGCAACATGTCCGACCCCAGGACCTGCGAGCTGGGGAGCAGCATCGACCGTATTCGCTTCTGCCTGAGCTTCGCCTCGCCCACCAGTGAGCTTCGACACATCCACGTCAGCTTCTTGCTTGCCCAATCTAAGACCACCATGCGCGTCGATTGCCCGCCGTCGCCCCGGTCGTCCTCGATCGCGAATGCGACGCAGCCTCCCCGGCCCTCCCCATTCGGCCCCCTGGCCCACGACACTCCCCAGTAGACAACCAAACGTAGCTCCCCCCACTTGAACACGCATCGCACGTGCATGCCGACGTCGCCACTGGCCTCCAGGAATGGCAGCGCCATGTTGGCCTTCAGAAAACTGTTCGCGGCCGCCTTGCTCACGTCGCCTTGGGAGAGTGAAACCGTAGCCGCCGCTTGCGCCAAGCACTGCGATGCTGGCCACTGCATAGCTCCGTTCAGTCCGCGTAGATGGCTGCTCTCAATTGGGGTGCAGAGGTCGTTTGGATGCAGTTGGCGCTCCGTCTCGATGGTGATCGACTGGACCTTGCGCATGTGCGCCTCCGCCTTGGCTTCTATCTCGTTCCTGGAATTCGTCCGTGTTCTCCATGCCGCAGAATGAAATACTGCTCGAGAACTCTCAGCTGCTGGAGCTGAACCGCTGGTTGAGGGTTTGTACTCTGTCCAAGAACGTGCCGTCGTAGGTCAGTCTGCTTGTCGGTCAAATCGCTCTCGCACTCAAGGTTTTCGCCACCGCCGATAAAGTCGTCCACGCGCAGACCCGGCACGCCGCCCAGCACGCAGTGGTTGCCGTCATCCGCTTCCCAGACCAGGAACGGGTCATAGCCCTTTCATCAAGATGCGACTCGACAGGATACAGCACGTGTCCAGCGTGCGCCGCAGAAAACGTGTCTCGATCAGATCGCTGATCGCATGATTCCACTGTCTCGGCGCTCCCACGTCACCGAACGCGGGCTTCAACATCGGAACAGTCTCGCCATCCTGCAAGCCCATCACATTGGCCAGGCGTCGCCGCGTGCTCCTCGTAGACCTGCTGAATATCCGCACGCCTTGTTCTCGAATGTCCTTGGACTGGAGGAGCGCGCTCTTGACGTCCGCCGCTACCATCTCTTGCTGGGATTAGATGAGCAGGATGAGATACCTCGTCAGCCTCGGACTTCTCGACCTTCCTGTTCGTCACCTCGTCCATGCGGAATACCTGCAAGATCACCCTCGCGTTTGCCTCTCGAACGCCGTCCTTTGACTTCCACTTGAACAGGAACCTCATCGGGCACACCTCGGCTGCGTCAGCTGACTCCTCCTCGACAGCTTGCCACGCCTTGTTCTCGATCCAGGCACGAGTGCCTTCGTCTTCGCCTCATCGTACTGCTTCCCCTCTCGTCGCCTGTCATTCTGGCCTCCACGATTGCGGTTTTCTTCGCCGCGCTCGTCAGATAGACCGTCCCTCGTCCTCGCTTAGCAACAGCACTCGTCGCTGCCGTTGTCGCCTGCGCTCGTCGGCGCCTCCACAGGTGTGGACCTCGGCCGCATAGCCAACGGTCGCAGTCCGTCCAACCTTCTGGCCGCGATGATGATCTCCAGCAGGTCGCATCGTGAAGAAGACAGTCTCAGGCGAAACGGCGATTCTGGGAAGCCGGCGGCGAAACTCTCCTCAGGTTCCCCGTCCCCACTTGTGGAGCTTCCGCGAGGTCCTTCTTACCACTTGTCCGAAAGTGGAGCTCCGACAGTTTAGGCTTATGTTGTTTTCCTCGTAGTTCTTGCGAACGTTTTCTTAGTCGGCGTTTCGAAAATGGGGGGAAGGGGGGAAGGGGGGAATCTGGCTCCGGACCTCTGCTCAGTGCGACTGCTTGGAACGGGGCGTCCTCTGGGGGAGACTCCACCTGCTCGAAACAGGCGCCAGAAACAGCCAAGATCTACTCCATGGGGAGGGGGGGGTGCGAGGGCCCGCGCCGAACGGCAAAGTAATGAATGAGAAAACGACGACATTACGTTTATGCGATTTTCTTTTCAGTTCTTTGCAAAACATCGCATGTTTGTACTCATCGAGACCAAACTGAAAACAACAGCTCCGTCCTGCAAGTTTCCTCGACCTGCCGACGGCCGCGCGGGAGCCACAATGGCTCGTTACGCATACCAAGGCGTGTGTCTTTCACCCTCCGGTGGGAGCTGCCTGGCGCGCAACGTGTCACCACGTGGGCGACAATCAAAAACGGGTCCTACGCGATACGACACAGAGACCTGACGCGGTGGCCTACGCGGGCCGCCCGCGCGGCACGCTACCGGAGACGAGTGCGCTTACGTGCGAGCTTACGTGGGCAGCTTACGCGCCAATGTCGGCGCAGACAACCCCGTTTTTTGCGCCGCTCAAGTGTGTCTCTCTCGCCCTCCTGCGGATGCTGCCTTGCGCGCACCTTGTCGCCACACTGCTGCGCCCCTGGGGGTCAAGCGGATGGCGCCTCAGGCTTAGGGCCGGCAGGTCCTCCGACAGGCGGATTCTGAACGAAGCAGTGAAAATAACTGAAAATTGTGCAAAATAGTCCGAACATAATCGACAGATCGTCCCGAGACTATTTTGGGGCATTCCTCATGTAGAGGGACAGGCCCGACTGACTATGAGGCATCAGAGCATCGCTTTCGCCTTCCGTGGGCGCTGCCAGGGGCGCAACCGATCGCCACGCTGCTGCGCCCCCTGGGGGATCTGCATCACGCGTGTCAATAAGTCGGGCCTGTCCCTCTGCAGGAGGAGGATGCAAAAGTTGGCAAAACATAATATGGGGACGATGCTTGGACTATCTGTGAACTGTTTTACAATCTGCTTTGGCTGCTCGCTTGCTTTCCTCAAGAATTCGCCTGTAGAAGGGCATGCCAGGCCTAAGCATATCAGTATGATCCTCCCTGGCTGCTACCAGGCCACATTGACCTTGCCCGCGCACTCACGCACGTTGTAACGCTCCCCATCGCTCTTCGGATGAGCCTCATCCCTTCTTAACATTACTCTCGGCGGCGAGCGAGGGGCGGAAGTAAGAAGGAGAAAGCCTTCTAAGAAGGCGGCGGGGCTTCTCAGAATCCCTCGTGCCTTCTGAGAAATTGGCAGTGCATGCCGGGAAGACTTGGAAAACTTCTCAGAAAACCGGGGGCCTTCCGAGCCTTCTGAGAAGGCCCGCCCCTTCTCACTTCCCCCCAAGCTCGCTGCCGACACTCACCCAAACACTCCGTGATTGAATGACGCAGCCAGCCGCTTACTCTCTCTTCAAGTCTTCGTTAGCAATCAGCGGTGCTCGCACACCTTCTATCAAAACAATATCTGCACGTACCTGCACCCATAAGAGCGTTCACCGGAAGGGCGCGTCCACCGGCGGCTCTGGCGGAAGTCCGCATATTGATGTCTCCTGTTTCCCACGCTTCCTGGGTCCGCCGTTCTGACCTCAACTCACCTTCGGGCAGTCACTCACTGATACATCCATTCACTCATCAGCTCGCTCACCATTTCACCCGCTGGTGAACTCGCCCAACCACCACACCAATTCCGTCACCGCGTTCTCCTCGCTCTCTGTCGTTCACTCACGCCAGACGCCTTTACTCACTCATCACACCTCATGCCTCTCCAAAGTCTTAAACAATTCAATGGCACACTCTTCCACTCGCTCACTCACTCACTCACTCAATCACCGAATCAAGCATCAATTTACACACTCGCTCGCATCGCCCAACACGCCCCACTCGCTATCAAGAATAACACACGCACACACCCTA